GTAACCTCGAATTCCCTCTGTAGCTGGCTGCACACCTCTAATCATCCTGCCTGAGACACTTAAATGCTAACATTAGCCAAGACATCTTAAATGACACTTTGTCTAGTTCCTTAATTGTTCATTAAGAATCAGTTATTCAGAGACTGGAGAGATGACTCAGTGGTTAAGAGCACTGACTGTTCTTCCAGAGGACCCCAGTTCAATTCTCAGCACCACATAAACAGCTCAGAGCTGCCTGGAACTCTAGTTCCAGGGATCTGACATAGGCAAACACCCCATTCTCCCCCAAAAAAGAATCAGTGATTCAGGGCTGGGGATATGGTTCAGTTATGGTGCTTTCCTAGAACACACACAGCCTTTGATTTACTCCCCAGTGCTGCAAAAATTAATGAATGAATGAATGAAATTTTCAGGTGATTGCTTTCATGTGTATCCTTTGTGCTCATAGAATAAGCTACTTACCAGTATTAACAGTTAAGTATGCTAGAAAATACATCCACATGTCAGGCAGTGGTGGCATGCACCTTTAATCCCAGCTCTTGGAGGAATCTGAGTTCAAGGCCAGCCTGGTCTACAGAGTGAGTTCCAGAATGGTCAGGACTGTTACATCATGTCCTATCATGAAGAAACAAAACAAAAAAGGAAGGAGGGAGGGAGGGAGGGGGGAGGGAGAGAGAGAGAGAGAGAGAGAGAGAGAGAGAGAGAGAGAGAGAGAGAGAGAGAGAGAGAGGAAAAAGAAAGAAGGAAAAGGAAAAGAAAATATGTCCATAGGAATCAGCAGAACTGAGGAGGTAAGCAGGCTGTGGTTCACAGTCACTTAACCTTCTCAGCCTTTTTTTATACACTGGGCTTCCCCCATCTCCTATTTTTAAATTTTCGAATCTACAGAAAAGTTGGGACTATCCTTAGACTCCATTAAGAAGAAATTGTTAAGATTCTGCTATATTTACTTTAATTTTGTGTGCTTGCATGTGTATGTGCCTGTGTGTATGTGTTTGTTTTCCAGACTGTGAAAGTTAAAGCAGTGCATCTTAGTCCCGCATACTTCCACCTACATCTCCTAAGAACACATACATTCTTTCATATAAGCAGTAAGTCCATTGCCTTCTTCCAAGAAAATTAATACTTTCATAAACAATATCTAACACAAATTCCAGTTGTCCTTAAATTTTTATAGTGTAAAGAATCTAACGGAAAAACCCTGTCTCGAAAAAAAAAAAAAAAAAAGAATCTAACAAAGATTCCTGCATTCCGTTGGTTGTTTTGCCTCTTCTGTCTCTTTCAGTCCTTTAATCTCTCTCTGCTTTGTTTGTTTATTTTGGTTTGTTTTAAGACCTTCTTACCTTGTAGTCTATGCTAACCCATACCTCACTGTATAGCTGAGTCTAGCCTCCAGCTCATGGTGGTCCTTTGTGGCATAGAATTTGAGGTGTTTACCACCATGCCTAATTCCTTAGTCTCTTTTAAACCCACCTCTTTTTCCCCCTGCATGAATAAGTGCGCCTCTGTGCCTGGTGCTCTGTGAGGTCAGAAGAGGGCAACAGATCCCTTGAAACTGGAGTTATAGGTAATTGTGAGCCACAGTGTAGGCATAGGAACTAAACCCAGGTCCTTAATAGTTAACAACAACAGATGCTTCAGTTGAGTCATCTACCACTTTAGTCCTCTTTGATCAGTGTCAGTATTAATCCAGTGGGGTTTTTATAACATGGTCCTTTTTGAAGAGTCCAAGTCACCTGTCTTATACAATATTTCATGTCCTGGATTTGTCTAATTTTTGAAATTGTGATTACATTCAGAAGAAATCTATTTGCAGAGAGGTGAAAACACTGTGTTGTATAATAGCACAATGTTAGACTAATGTGTCCACTAATCACAGATACTAAATTTGGTCACTAGCAGAAATTTGAGTCTTCCTCAGGTAAGTCCAAATTTAATGTTGTAGGGTTCTTTTATTCTTTTTATCCATATATCATTATTGTAATTTTCTCACTCATGCCTTATTAACAAGAAAAAGGCCAGGCATGATATTCTATACCTCTCATAATCCTACCTCTGTGAAGGCTGAGGCAGGAGCAGTGCTGTGAATTTATATAATGCCATGAGTTTATATAGCATAGGCTATATAGTGGCTGCCAGAGCAGGCCTATAGCACCTTGTGTCCCTCATACAAAGAAAAAAGAAAAGAAGGGGAAAAAAAGCCCAGTAATTTTTTTTCTTGTAGAAATAATGGTGGTTATACATTACAAGTAGATAGAAGGTAGCATTCACTCTGCCTGCCCCAAAGATAGTAAACATTTCCTCCTGCTTTCCTTTTTATGATTTTATGATTTAGGAAATTTTGGCAAATTAGCTGCTAGTAAGTACCCCATAGTTTAGGAAAATAAGAGTATCAGTAAGATGAATCGATTTTTTATTTTGTTTTATTTTGTTTTGTCTTTTGAGACATGGTTTCTCTGTGTAGGCATGGCCATCCTGGAACTCATTCTGGAGACCAGGATGACCTCGAATTCCCAGAGATCTGCCTTCCTCTGTTACCCAGGTACTGGGATTAAAAGCATGTGCCAACACTCCCAGCTTAGATGAATATTTTTTGAGCCATTACTATGTTTCATGGCTCTGGACAACTTACTGTGGCATATCTGCATGGTGACCCCATCAGGATAAACAACACTGTTTCCCCATTTTACAGAGTAGGAAACTGGGGTACAGAAAGAGTGATTTAAGATTTATTGGTTTATTTTATGTGCATTGGTGCTTTGCCTGTACGTATGTCTATGTGAGTGTGTCAGATTCCCTGGAACTGGAGTGACAGACAACAGCTGTGAGCTGCCATGTGGGTTCTGGGAATTGAACCTGGGTCCTCTGGAAGAACAACCAGTGCTCTTAACTGCTGAGCCATCTGTCCAGTTCCTGCTGCCTAATTTTAGAATGCAGTTCTTACTATTTCCTATTTCCTTTCTCTATATATATCTAGATATACAAGATATCTCCTATCCATTCCTGTTGTGATCCTCACATCAGTCTGTAAGAACAGTCTCAAATAGATGAAGTTATTACCCAATAGCATAAGCTATCTGAACCATTTATCCTATTTTGTGGTTCTCTCCCATGTTTCAGCCAAGATCTTTAACAGCAGAGTGGTTTGTGCAAGGTCCCTTTTCCCACTCCCCAGCACCCACATAAACAGGAATCGTGTGCTGAAAATGAAACCAGGTTCCAGAAGCAACTGCACAAGCAAGAGAAGCCTGATCGGGTCCACATGAGCCAGATGACAGGAATGAGAGCCATCACTTACAGTTCGGGGACCGTCAGTGAGAAGTGGGGTGACAGTGAGCCTGAAATAAAAGCCATTGGAATAAGACTGGTTTCCAAGGAGATTTTCCTTACCATCTTCCTTCTCAACAGAGAGGAATGTAGCAGTCTTTTTGATTGAATAACTTCAAACCAGTGACCAAAGCCATGAAGAAATTTCTGAAGGAAAGTGTGATTATTTATGGTTTATTTTTGAGAATTTATTTTTAAGTCATCATCACCTAAAGTACATAATTATGTAGTACAATAAACTGAGAGTAGTGGTCCACCATGATCAGGGGAGCAAATGAGTCAGTTAGCCTTTAGAAGTCAACTGTACAGGGTTTGGGAGGGGGGTGCTGTTGTTTGCTTGTTTGTTTTTCAAGATAGCCCTAGCTGTCCTGGAACTCACTCGATAGACCATGCCTGCCCCAAACTCATAAAGATTTGCCTTCTGCCTCCCAAGTGCTGAGATTAAAGGCATGTGCCACCACTGCCTGACTCCATTATTTTTTTCAATACAGAACTATATACATTTTTGGAAAATGAAAGAATCTGTGGACAGACACAAGTAAAAGCCATAAAAGCTCACAGACCCTAACTTAACCCTTGGTTAAGTCATTTTGTAGTGTTCCCATCCATTAAAAGAGAATAATTGGGGTTGGGGTCAGCAAACTGGCATAATAGGTAAATGCACTTGATACCAAACCTGATAACCTAAGTTCAGTAGCCAGTAAATACATAATAGAAGGAGAGAGCCACTAGAAGGTTATCCTCCAGCCTCCACATACACACTGTGGCACTTGGGACTGCCCCTTTAACACATACATACATATAAGTATAATTTGTTTCATTTTGTTTTAAGTAATTGAGCCAGGGAGATAAGTCAGTTGGAAAAGTCAGCATGGGCACCTGAGTTGGAACACTAGAATTCATTGTTTGTTTGTTGGGTATTTTGTTTGTTTGTTTCAAGTCAAGGTTTTCCTGTGTAGCCTTGGCTGTCCTGGAATTTGCTCTGTAGACCAGACTGGCCTCGAACTTAGAGATCTACCAGCCTCTGTCTCCCTAGTGCTGGGATTAAAGTTGTATGCCACCACCTCCCAGCTTGTTTGTTGGTTTTTGTTTTGTATTTTTCAAGGCAGCTAGTGGTAGCCTGTCTCTGGTAATCCCAGCCCTGAAGAAGTGGAGGTTTGGGAATCTCTGGGTTTCACTGGCCAGCCAGTCTAACCTAATCAACAAGCTGCTTGTCTCAGTGAGAGACCCTTTCCCAAAGTAAGGTGGGAAATTCCCGAAGAATGACACCAATGTTCAACTTTTGGCCTGCATGGGTGTATGTATGTATACACATGTACCCTCACACACACGTGCACACATGAATACACACAAATACTTGTGACATTAAGTAAGGAAATTGTAAGGATTATATTCATGTACACACATACAGTATAATAGAGTGCTAAGCACAAAGGCACCCAATATGAAACTAATTATCATTTTGTATGATCATATCGTTAAGTGTTCTGACATGATATAGGTCTAAGAACCCTTCCTAAATCAGGAGTGTTCCCTTAACCCAAGTAAGCATACATTCCTCACTCACTCTGCCTGGCTAATACCTATGTGTGAGAACTATCTCTTAATCTACTCTGGTGGAGGCAGGAACTTCATACAACCATGGTACTTATCTCAGACTGTCTCTGTTTCAGGTGGTTAGCTCAACCAATGGAGAGCTGAATGTTGATGACCCCACTGGAGCTCACTCAAATGCACCAATCACAGCTCATGCCGAGGTGGAGGTAGTGGAGGAGGCTAAGTACGTTCATCTTCCAAAGGGTTTGTCTCATAATGGGTTGGGAACTTTATTCTCTCTCCTATGTGCTGCTCATCACAGACTGGATTCTTCATGCTTGAGTCCATATCCACAGCTTTCTTCTCCCGAGGTGGTTTTTGTTGTTGTTGTTGTTTTTTGTTTGTTTGTTTTTGCATGGTGCATTAAGGCTGCTGCCACCCTTAGCACTGATTTCTGGGCAGATAGTTATATTTTTCTAGGCTGCATTGGGCAAAAGACATCGTGAACTAAAAACCTGATGTGGTGAAAGCTACCATAGATAGTAGCCATGATTTTCTTGAAGGCTTAGAGCTTCTTGCTCCCTATGGGTAACAGACCAAGAGTGTTAAACCATGAGCCCTGGAGTATAGCATCACATTTCTGTTGTTGCCTCAGCACTCCAGACGGGTGGTCCTGAATAACAGGGTTTGGGATACATTTTGCTGTACAGTTTGGGCTCAGAAAAACTAAGTCATTTTCAGGCAAGACAGTTGTGTTTGTAAATATAAAAATCTTGGGATAGCAAAGTGACCCTAATCCCAAGAAAGCAAGGCAGTTCCTCACTTCCTCTTCTGCTTCTCCTGCATGTTTATGTCTTGCTGTGCTCTCCCACTAGCCCATTGGTGCTTTCTGCATGGTCTGTGTTTAAACTCTGAGATTTTGGGGCTGGAAGGTAATGCTGATGCTGCTGTACAAATAGCATTTCTACCACTTCTGTTCCTTTTCCCCCTATCCCAAACTCAGATCCAGGTTTAAACTTGAAGAAGACATCAGGTAGGGAAAGCTAGAGAAACATGAGTCACTAACTATAGCTAGCCCTGACAGGGATGACCTTTCTTTTAAGCTCTTTGAGAACATTCACTATCCCATTAATGTGTTCTCTCGGGCAAACAACATATTTTTAGTACAAGCCAAGACATGATTACACCTATGGGCATCAGTCAGGGTCACCAAGCTGAACCAGTCTTTTTCCAGATGTACTTGGCATGATTGTACTCCTGCCCATCTATTTGGTAAGCTCACTTGGCCTTTAGGAAGTCTTTCCTACTTAACAAATAGAAAAGTTAATGAGCACGACTTTAGCTCTATCTTGTTGATACCTATAGACAAGGGGTACAGTGGGGAGGTGGTGCCAGGAGGAGACTGTTTTAGGAATTACACTTCTCCTCAAGAGCTTGGGAGATTTTAATTATATGCTTATTTTTTTCATTCTCAATAAATTATATGATAGTCCCACTTTCTGAACTCTCACTTTGAATATGTTAGAAAATACAGATGCTTCTGCATGGACCCAGAAATTTGAGGTTAATTTATTATCTGGCCTGATAATAAAAATATTTAAAAGTTCGGGGAATTCTAACATGCAGCCAAAACTGAGAACTACCACACTCTGCATGCTCTGATCTTGAAAGAGGGCTTTACCTTTTCCCACCCCACCCCAGCTTATTCCCCATTTCACATTTGTACCTATTCGTTTTAGAAATTCAGATATGGATCTAATACTGTATTTTGAGCACCATGTTCGTAGGAACTTTAGTCTTAGGCCCTAAACAGATTTATATTTTGGACCTATTCGTTTCATTCTGGTAAATGTATACACTGTGTGTGAGTGTGGTGTTTGTGTTCAATGTGAAAGATAAAAAAGATTTCTTTCATACAAAAAGAGTTCAGTCAGTGTGTTCTGTCTATCATATTCTAAATACTAGAATATAAAGAGAGGTTAAAGTCTTCCCATTTAGCAGAAAGGACATTATACCTCTTGCCTCCAACTCCAGGTTTAGGCCTTCTGAAAAGTGTACAAACTAAAAGAGAGCAGTTGTCTTGACCAAATGTCACTCAATTCCTTGCTTGAGCATTTTGTAAACTGGTTCTGATAGTGATTTCATGAGCTGTCTTGGCTAGGTAACTATTGGCTCAGCCTTGTGCATATGGTATATATATATGTAAGGACACAGTAGTTATATATCCAATAGATCACTTCCATGGAAAAGTCAAAGCTAGAGAGATGAGGTATCCCAAACAATCCCTCATTACACACAGCTATGATGCCAATTGTTCATGTAGCTTGTCGATGGGATGAGGAGGGCAGTTGCTTATATTGTAGTTACCTCAAGTACAGGGAAAGTCTGAAATCTTTACCTCCAAGCTTTTGGTTTTAGGTTCCCTTTCACATCTTGTTAAAACAAAAAAATTAGAACAAAATCACAGGATGACGGTTTTGATCAGTGTAAAAAAAGTGGACACTTGATTTCCCTTTTCTTCTAAGTACAAGACACTTTTGTTAAAGTGTGGTTGGAGAATGGTGAGGGCAGATGGCTTTTAGGTCAAATTTTGTGGTAGTAAAAGTACAAGAATTTTTATTATCTATACTTTGGTGGTATCTTGATGATTGTGGACTCAGTTTCACCTGAGAATTAGTATGATCAGAATTTAGGTCCTTCTTTAGTATAGTAGTTTATTTCCAAACAGTGAACTCCCTCTGTTTCATCTTCTAATACGATAGAGTATCTCTTAAACTTTTCCTGTCTCTAAGAAGAGCCAAGTGCTAGCTGCTGCTTTTTGAATTGGCATATGGAAGTTAGCTAAGCATTGTCCAAGACCTTGTGTGGGAACCAGATGATGGTTCAGCCTTGATACTTGAGTTCTTACGGGCCAGGTCACTTGCTCCTTCCCCTACTGCCTTCCTGGAAGTTGCCCTGGAAAGCCTACCCTGAGGCTTCCACCAGCTCTTTCTGTTTTGCATCTTCTGAGATGCAGCTCCCACACTGATACTCCTGTCAGGCTTCCTCCTCCTGTTAAATGTGAAGATCGATCAAATGGGCTGCTCAGCCTCCCTCAGCAGGAGGAAACTAAACACAGACACATACTGCATGTTTGCATGTTCACAGGGAGTCTCTTCCATCTCATCCGTGGACTAATCTCTCTCTCTCTCTCTCTCTCTCTCTCTCTCTCTCTCTCTCTCTCTCTCTCTCTCTCTCTCTCTTCCTTTCTATGTTTTTCTCTTTATATATTCTGTAGCTGCCTGAAAATGCTCAACCTGTGGTGAGTCCCTCTCTCCAGTCCACATGCCTGACTATTCTGGGATTGGCAAAGCATTAGAAATACTGAATGAATTCCTTATGTCTTAGCCACCCAGACTGGGGAAATTAGGTCTACAAGGCGGGGTGGGGCAGGCCTGTACCCCCAAATCAATCTTTTCCTTCTTTTCTTTCAATCCCACCTCATTTATCGCTGCACCCTTCTATCAGAAATTATCTCACAATATCCAAACTTATTTTTTTTAAGATGAATAAACTTCTTCTAATTTTTTTCTCCCAAGTTATGAATAGAACTATCAGAAAGAGAGGGCCCAAGATTAGAAAGATAAGGTTTTAGATGTTTCAGTAATCACAAAACAGTATTATCACCAGATAATCAGTCTCACCTTTGGCAACTTGGTGTGTAATAGGAATAGTCTGTTTGGAGGAAATCCGTAAGTGCCTTGTTGATTTCATTAGTTTTTCATCTATAGCAAGAGTCTCTAAAAAAGGAGAACCCCTTGAAGGAAAGATCAACACTTTGGTGTTGACTGGACATTGCTGGGTTTTTTGTTTGTTTGTTTGTTCCCCTTATTCTTTGATGAAAGAATAGTAGGCTAAGTAAGGTTTGACTTGGTTGACAGGGATATGGGAGCCTGTCTTTTCTTCCAGAAAAGGCTTCTTTAATACAGATGTGGACATACGGGAATGCGGAAGGAAAATACCCAAAAGATTCATGTTGGTGGCAGTTTGTAACCCTCCCACACTGTACACATTAGGTTATATTCTATGCTATGATAATAGCCTGCTGGATTCTGATTACTTCGTTTTGAAAAATTCTCTTCAGTAATTGGATTGGGCCTTGATTTCTGATTATCTAAGCCAAATTGTCCAGGGGGTTTGCCTAGGAATAGATATGTTTTGAAGATAACAGTGGGTTTTATGGCAATAGAATAGGGTTTCAAAGAGGACATTTGGTCTATTCATGTGTCTGTGTAATCTAATGTTGTCATGGTTTCTTTTTTTTCCTGTGAGGTGTCAGTCACATGATCCCAATTGCAACTACTTTAGGTCTTACTATACTCACTCAACCTTGTGCATAGAACTCAGGGACCTGGGATGGCCAGGAGGAACAGGGCAAGTGAAGGGAAGACCCTACCTGAGACGTAGGAAGCCTGTGCACATGAAAGGACAAGGACAGAACAAGGACGGCTACAGATTTCTCACGCTATTCCCAATAGGCTGAGAGGGGAGGCATCACTGAATTCTCAAGGAAGACCTTTCGACACAGCAGGACTTGGGCCAGTTTAGTGCAGAGGAGGAGAAAAGAGTGTGGTAAAGAAGAGAAACAGGAGAGTGCCAAGATGACATGGTACAGGATGGTAGGAAGGAGTGATGGGTCTGGGTCAGGTAGGGAGGGAGAATCCTGGATCAGCTTGGGCTCTAACTTGTAAAGGATTTCTGGTCACTTAAAGGAGCAACTGAAAGGGAACCTAAGACACAAAGGGAGTACTCTGTTCTGAGAGAAACATCTGTATAGAGTTAGTCAGTGGACTTGGCCTCAAGTCCAGATCCTTTTGCTGGTGGTCACCATAGAAATCAAAGCCTTTAAGAACAGATTGTAAGGCCTCCTTCTTTGTTGGTGGAATTAAAAGCGTCTACTCCTGCTGAAGCCATATAGGGCTCTAAATGCAAAATATGGCCTCTGTTCCTCTGAATGGCAGCTGCTACTCATGTGCTCTAGTGATTCAGCAGGAGCACATGCTAGTTCCTGTGAACTGTCCAAGAGAATCCACTGGGCATTCAGGAATGGGCCCAGTGTTTCAGGTTTGGTTTTGGTTTTTGGTTTTGTTTTTGAGTGCTTTTCTTTGAAAACAAAAATCATCATCTTAGGGTCCTCCACACAGAAAGTAAGAATAGAGGTTAATTTTAGAGTTAGTAGAACCACTTAAAATCATAGTTGAAAGGAAATAGGTAAGACTGATGAGCTGGTGAGATGGCTTGGCACTGATTGCTCTTCCAGAGGTCCTGAGTTCAGTTCCCAAACCCACATTGAGGCTCACAACCATCTATATGGGATCTGATGCCCTCTTCTGGAATAAAGGTGTACAGGCAGATAAAGCACTCACATAAAATAAATAAGTCTTTTTTAAAAAAGACTTTTGAAATACTAGTTCTTCATAAGATTTGACTTGTTTACTTAAATATTAAGTTCTGGGCATTCAACCTGGCAAATGTCGGTTTCAGGGGCTGGAGAGATGGCTCGGTGGTTAAGGTACTGGCTGCCTTTCCAGAGAAGCAGTTTCATTTCCTAGCACCCACATGGAATGCACCACTATCTGTAACTCCAGTCCCAAGGATCCAATGCCATATTATGACCAGGCACCCACATGATACATAGATATATATGTAGACAAAATGTCCATATACCTAAAATGAATAAAAAAAATTTAAGAACAAATGTCCATTTCTAATACACGTGTATAGATTTTTTAAAATTCTTTCCCAATGTTTCCTTTAAGGACTATTAAAGCTATCAATCACTTTTATTTAAAATAATTTATACAGTTTCCAGATGTATATAACACTTTGGTTCACATCTATTAATTAATAGTAATTATAAATGTTATTGATACACCCAGGGCTGATTGGGACACACACACACAAATATCTATGTATCTGTTTAAACAAGGTCTCTTGTAGACCAGGTTGACTTCAAACTTGATATGTAGCCAAGAATAACTCTGAACTCTTGACCCTTCTTCCAACCGTCAAACATTGGAATTACAGGCATATATTACCATGGCCAGATTTTGAAGAATATTTTAAAACTCTCTTAAGAAGCCCGAAATCCCAAAGGCATTCAGATATCAGAGTTTGAGGTCAGCCTGGTCTACAAAGTGAGTTCCAAGTCAGGCAAGACTATTACACAGAGAGACCCTACCTCGAAAAAGAAAAGAAAGAAACTCCTGTCTCAAAATTCCACATTTCATTCATGACTTTGAGTTCTTGGAAAGCTCACATCATTATCTGTGTAAGGTTTATTTCTACATTCTAAGAAACTTTCTCAGTCTAGATATGGTAGTATATACCTACAAATTCTAGAACTCTGGGAAACTGAGGCCAGAGAATTGCACATTTGAAGCCAACCTTGGCTACATAATAATTAATCACTGTCTCAAAAGAGAAAAGAAAGAAACAATAATAAAGGTTATTTTAAAGAACCCTGAAAGGGTTAGGTAAGAGACTTAAAATAGTTTTCTCAGAAAAAGTTTTCTTTTAAGGATCAAGCATCTGAGCTATACTTACAACTTTATTCTCCTCCCTCATCTGGCATCTTTGACCTATCCACTGCCTTCTGCCCACCCTCCTCATTTTCCATTTTTCATTTCTGGAAAGAGCATACCTTTTGCATCAACCTTGCCATAGCCCTCAATATGCCCTCTCCAGTGCCTACACAACAGCCATGCTTCCTAGTCTAAAACTGGACTAAGGAGGGCATCTTCAGGGTCAGGGTGCCACTCTTGTACAGGCTATTTCCCCAAGAGATGGCACTTTGAGGGCCTCAACCTCTCTACCTTAAATAAACCAGTTGCTAACCCTGTCTGGAACAGTGGCAGTCTTGGGGAATTCCCTGTGACCAGAGTTTCCCAAGGATTATTAGTTCCTGGGTTTCGGGCATTGGTCCCCTTGGGGTGATTGGCACCTGTGCTGGTTTTAGGAGATAAAGATTCACCCTTTTTATGAGCTTAGAGCTTCTGCTTACTCCAGGCATCATGTTGGGGACAAGAACAAAGTAGAAAGAATCTTAGTCATTTATTGACATCATGTGACTGCCAGGATTCTAGATTTCATACTTTGTGTGAGATTTATTTGCCTCAGTTTAGCCTCCTTGCTTACTGGCCAGTGAGTTGCATTGAGCTGCTGCTGGTATCAAGGGAGCATACACTGCAGGCTATTTTTCTGTTACCTTGAGCACCCTCCTTCTTGGTTCTAGACAAAGATGGAGTAGCTGGGTTTGATGTTAGTCTAGTAACAAAGCCTTTTTCATCCTTCTTCCAGAAATGCCTGTGGCAGCCATGTCTAGAGGACAGCATTTTGATAATCAGGCAGAGTGGCTGCAAATCAAATCAGCTGTTGCCTTTAACTTTCTCATAGACACTGCCTGTTACTTCCAGTGTATGTGTGCTCTAAATGGTGGGCAGCCATGTGGGTGGGCACCAGGAGAAAACCCTATCCCCTGCAGTAAGCAGAAGCAGGCAGAGATCTGCTGGGAGCCGGAGATTTCTAGACTGACTTAAATGTTCTTGTGCTCCAGGTGCTGCTGTTTCTTTAAGAGGAAAAGGAAGAAGACTGCTCAGCGACACAAGTGACCAGTGCCTCCCAGGAGTCCTCAAGTCCTGGGGACTCTGGCTCCAATTGCACCTGCAGCTCCTGCCATTTCTCATTGGAAGGAACTCCTCTGTGGGGGAGGGTGGAGATCCAAACCAAAAAGAAGAAAACAGATGGCCCCAGAAGGAGCCAGTGCAGGCAGCCAGGGCCCAGTGGGCCAGTGGCAATCCCTCTGTCTGAGCTCTGAGCAGGTCCAGAGCTGCTGCTTCTCCACTGCTTGCCCTTGGGCTATCTGGTTGACTCTCTTCCCATTGTTTACAGTGAAGGTGTCATTCACAAAAACTCAAGGACTACTATTCTCCTCCCTCCTCTTCCTTTATTCCTGGCTCTTACACCACCCTCAACCCTTTCCAACATAAAAACTACTAAGCTAAAGGCTCTTTCAAGTAGCTGGTGGTGTGGCCTAGAAGGTAGGAGGAAGATGACAACCCTGGGCTGGAGGACTTCTCCACTTCCCAGGTGTGTCTAGTAGGATGACTTCCTTTCCCTCTGTGCCTGGGTGACTCCAGCCCAGCTGGCCACTGGATTCAGGTCCTTCCCTCTGTCCCTCCCTTCCTCCCCTGCTCCTGTGAAGTTACACTGTAGGACACAAGCTGTGAGAAATCTGCAGTCTACTGTCCCTGTGTGTTGACGTTCTTAGCTTTTTTGATAAGCAACTCCCTTGCTCCGACTGTAGCAAAACACACCTGTGGTTCTGAGCAAAGGAAAGGAAACTGACTTTATTGCACTTTTAGTTTTGGGGGGTTTTGTTTTTGTTTTATAAACAACATGGCAGATGCATATTGTGTCTGGTTATATTGGTTGGGGGGTGCTTTTTTTCTGTTTCAAGGGGGATGGGCCAGCCAAGCCATTCAGAGAAAACGTGGGTCCAGAGGACATTCTTGATGGAGTGATTTGCAGCCCTTGGAAGAGAAGAAGCCAAACTTTGTGTCACCCTGAGTGAATTCTCAGGTTGGCAAGGATACATACTTGAATTTTCATTCATCTTCTCCGCTGCAGAGAAAAGTCCCCACCAGAGCCCCTTGACCTAATCAGCCTAGAGCTTGAAAGCCCTGCTCCTGAGCACTTGGGATGAGCACCAAGCCGGACTGTGATCAACCAGGAAGGCACCTCATCTCAGAGAGGAGATACTTAACAACAAAGCAAAATTTCTGTTTCCTCCACTGCCAGGGACTTCCTACTAGATAGCCATGTGACTTTCTGTTGACTTGGGGGACAACATTAGTGACTAAACAGCCACCACTGTATTGCCAGTAGTGGACGAAAGAGGGCAGCAAATCTGCCTTCCAACTGCCAGAGGAGCCTCAGGATGCAGCATCCTGAGGCCGGGAAAAGACATCAGTGTGTCATGTCTGCCCCAAGACTGAGTTAGAGCATCTAGACTGGTCTGCCTTAGAAATCAAGCCTGTGGTGATCTTGGAGCAGGTCCATAGCAGCAGGCTTAAAACTTGGTACATGGGGGTGCAGTAAGCAGGGAAGGTAAGATTGGTTGGTGCTGGGAAATTCCAGGGAAAATGAATCTGTAATGAAAGGTTTAAAATTCTGTCATAGCAATTGAACAGAGACTCTTTCCAGATAATATGACCGTATATTAGCATGTGTTCCCCAGTACACTTTGTACCTGCCACAATGGCATCTTCACTGGGCATGCCACCGTGCCGCATCACTGGTCGCATAAATAGTGGGGGGGGGGTACTCTTCTCATGTTCTGTTTTCATTTTGGTGACATTTCCAAGGATTATTCACGTGATCAAAGAGGTCTTATATCTGGGTATAAAGAGCTGCCCGCATAGGGCAGCGACTAGTGACTTAGTGCAGCGCAGGACTCTGCTTGTATATGTAGAAGACTGGAGGATGTCAGGACTCTTTGTGGTCATGTTTCAGAAATACTATCAAACAGAGCAGAGTTTATGCGCCTTGTGTGTTCTGTTGGACCTTGGCTAGGGAACCTCTCTCTTTACTGGCTTCAGACCTGCTCAGCCTTTGTAAAGATTGCTACTCAGTCATTTATTTACAAAAAAAAAATGTTTTTTTCTCCATGAAACAGAGTAGCAGGGAGAAGTCGGGTCAAACCCCTTCCTCATAAGGAATTTGAGTGTTAGGATTTGCTTCCTTCTTATTATGTAGTAGTTAAAGCTCATCACTAAAATTTACATAGTCCCTCGTTTGGCATGTGGACAACTCTGACTTCCCCTACAGAAACTTAAAAATCCTCGTACCAGGAAATGGTGTCAAGGCCTAGAGCATCCTGGCACTCTCTGTCCCACTAAGTGCCTCCCCAACCCTGCCTCCACAGTAAAGCAAAAGGCAGTGATGAGTTCGGCTGCAGGGTAGAATGCCCTGTAGCTGGGCCTAAGACTTCTTTTTTGTCTTAACATATTTTTATAGGCTAGCTCTTGAGAGGTTGGACCTGAGTGGTTTGTGGGAGTGGGGAAGGGTCCTCCCTAATGCACTGTTGGCACCCTCCAGCCCCACAAATCCCTTCCTTTCTAGATATTTGGGTTTTGTAACATAGGTCCCTTTAACTTGCAGGGCAGCGGTGATCCTTTCAAGGCCATTGACACTCCAAGGTGGTCCCAAAGCTGGGCAATTCTCTTATTATCTTCCTTAAATTTTTAATTCTGAATTCTCTAGAAAAAATGCTCATCTGTTACAACCCCACCAGCACATCAGACTCCTTACACATCCCTGTTTCTGTCAGTTGCCTGGCTGCAAGCTCAGCCAGATCCTAGGGCATAGGCGCTCCCCTCATCTTCCCTCATCAAAGTCCACTGTTCCAACTCAGTTGTGAGACCTAAGGATGGTTTACGTTAGGACTAATGCATTTACTTCCTCTTAAGACTGACTCATCTGTTCTTTGATGCTGTACTATTTGGACTTTCCTCCAGCTTTGCTGTCCTTGAGGCGTTGCAACCTGAGCAGACTTGGGTACAAGAAGGCCAGCGGTTACAACAAGGTGTCTTTGCAGTGTCTAGTCATACAAGTGGATCTTGAGAGTTCTCGCTCCAGACTGCCCACAAGGCTGCGCTGAATATGCCAGCACCTAGTGGGCACTCATGACTGCCTTAATTAACAGTCTTCTATTGTGGGTCTGTCTAGGAGCAAACAGGGTCTGTAAAGGAATGTGTACATCAGGTGACTACGTAAGTCTCCAGTTCAAGTCCCATTTCAATCGAAACAAACTATGTGAGACAGCAAGGATCCTAAGGTTCCTGAAAGTGTTAGTTTCATTTTTAGTGATTGACAAGAACTCAGAAACAGCCCATGTCCATTAGCCAGATGGTGTCCATCTTCTGTAAAGTAACTTCCAGTTTAGTTCAGAGGAAAACTACGCTATAGTGCTTATTTAGTGTTGATATCCATTGTTAGCAACCACTTATAATGCCAGCAATGGTAATGTTATGTTAAAGTGGTTACTAAGGATCATAGCCTTAATATTAAAAATAATGTAAAAGATAATTCATTCCCCTCCATATTGAGCAAGCATGGCTGCATTTCTCAGTAACTTCCTCAGAAGCCTAGGAAGCATTTCCTAAAAGGAACTTGTTCTCTATCTTCCAGTGCATCCCTTCCAAGCCCACGTGACTCCTATGTCCCAGTCGCCTCTTCCAAGTTTCATACTGAAACCAGTTTTCCATTCCTGTGTAGTTGCCCTGATAATGATTTGTCCAGTGTCAGTCATGCCAGGGCTTGAGTTTTTAAGACCAGGAGTTTGCATGGTCATACAACCAACATTGCCTTTGCCAAGCCACTGCCACCATCTGCTCCATTGCCCCAAGTGGGTAGGTTGATTCCGGAGACCCTCAGGGAGCCAGGATAATTAGGTACCCATCTGGAGTGGCCATGTGGGTAACAAGCACTTATCTCTGGGTTTCTTGGTTTTGCAGACTTCAAGGAAGTCCCATGTCGATGTTGATGGCCAATGACTCCAGCCTTCCCCATAATGGGTTGGTAGGAATCAAATAAGAATTCCTTTGTTGGGGGAATTTGTTTTAAGGGGGTTAGTTTTTAAGTATGGAAAAGAAGAGGCCACTGTGGTCCTTCTGTGAGTGTGTAGTTTTGAGCAGTGTTTTCATCCCCAGTCTTGGGAGTCTCTGAGGGAGTCTTAAGGTATTTGTCCTACTCCTTTTGCAGGTAACTAAGTACAGAAGAATAGAGTTCTTATTGTATCAAAATAGTAAGTAGATCCCTGAATATAGGCAATAGTAGTTGACATAGTTTCTCAATAAAACAACCAGGAAACCCACTCCAGTATTTACAGATCAGCTTATCAAGGGGGAAAAAAGTGAACATGTACTCCATATATCTCTAGTTCAGTTACCAAACTTGATGTTATAAAGAAGCCTCAGTTGTGTGGACAGGTTCTCTCCCCTACCTTTCTTCCCTCCTCTACTCTCCCTTTGCCCCTGCCATCACAATCATTTTTCTGGTGCCATCACCACCTTTAAGGTCTCAGAGCAGAAGATTATCTTTGGTAATAAGCCAGAGTGCATTGCCGTCATCCTAGCCACACACAGACAACTGCCATCCTGACTAACCCAAACCCACCTTTCAGGGTAGGTGAAGCTTTTTGGTACTCCTCTTCAGGAGCTCCAGACCAAATCCCAGGCCAGCCTGTGCACCAAAGCCTTTTAGAAGGCTTAACAATCTGTTAGGAATGTCTCAGGAAACATGAGCCATTTCTTGGGGGATATATGTATTTACAGATGGATATGTGTGCCCGTCTGTGTGTTTTACTCTCATAGCACAGGCTCCTGGGAACTGTTCCTCAGTGTTCTCAGAGACAGTGTGATCTGTGAGCAAGCTAGCTCTGGGAAGGAGCTCTGTTTATCAAGCAGAGAACAGCAGAAAAGATGAAACCAAAAATCCTATAACCCTCCAATGGAAAATAATGTTGATGCAGCAATTCCCATTGGATATACTACACTCTCTAATTTATTGTCTTTTTTTTTTTTAAGTTTTACCCATTGTACTCTTTAAAAGATGTTGGATGTTGGTTGCCATTTTTTTAAAGTTGATGTCTAAATCAGCTGTGGAAATCAGTTTTAATTCATGTGTGGATATGTCTAGTTATTATTAAATGTCTTTTTTCTACTTTTTTTTTAAAGATATGTAATGTTTCATAAACCCTGGCACTGGTTTAAAAAAAAAAACCGCAGCTGTGAAAAAATGAAACTTGTAGTATTTTTTAAATGAATGTCGATTTCAAGTGTATTTGAAATGTTTCCTCCAATAGAGAGATTTGGACACCGTTGGGGAAAACTCCTCTGCAGAGGAAATAGCCTTTGGAGAAAATGGGATGTGGGTCTGGATATGTTATCTCAGAGGAGCCCGTCTCAGAGGGCACCGTGGACAACACAAATGTGATCTTTGAGTACATCTCTTCCCCAGTTTTGGGGGGAAAGTACTCAGTCTGCACCCTTTTTGTATGTAAAATAAAATGTCCTACCTTTCTTGGCTACATTTACTTCCTTGGTTTTAATCTCCCCTGGTTTATTTCTAAGAATCTGGCAAGGACTGACTGGTGAGAATCAAAATGTCTTTAAACAAAAATAATGTCTGGTACTTTGGCATTCTGCCTTTATCTCTTTAGCTGAATGTTGCATCTCCTCTGAGTCTCTGGATATAAATGTCCTAGGACCAGCAAAATGCCCCAGAGGGTAAAGGTACTTGCTGCATAGGTCTGGCAGCCTGAGTTTAATCCCTGAATTCCATGTTTAAAAAAAAAGGAGAAAACTGAATCAGCAATTGTCTTCTGGTATCCACATATGTGTCACGGCATGCACCAACCACAATTTAAAAAAAAAAATTCAGGGCTGAGAAGATTGGTTAGTAAAGTGCACGCCACATTAGTTTAAGAACCCAAATTTGGTCCCCAACACCATGTGAAAAATTGGGTATGGTGGTGCACTTGTAATCCAGTGCTGGAAAGGAAGAGACCAGCTGGAGCCAGTTCAGCCCTAAGGCAAACTCAAGCCCCATTAAAAGACTTAGACTTAGAAGAGGAGGGGCTGAAAAGATGACTCAGCAGTTAAGAACTGGGTATCCTGTTCTTATAGAGGTCCTAAGTTCAGGTCCCAGTACCTGTATTGCACAGCTCACAATTGCCTATAACTCTAGCTTCAGGGTATCTGGTGCTGTCTGCTGGCCATGGTGAGCACCTACATACATCCACAGACACAAATACACAAATAAAAATAGCAAACAAAGGGCACAGGCCCTTGAAAAGCAACACCTGAGGTTGTCCTCTGCTCTCTACACATGCAAACTCAAACATGCAAATATTCCAAACTAGGAATGGTGGTAGCACCTGTAATTCTAGCACTTGGGAAGTGGAGGCAGGAGGATCAGTTTAAGGCCATCACTCACAGGCTGTAGTTTGTAGGTGGGAGTACTCCAAGGGTTATGCTAGCCAAACAACTTTATTTTTCTTTCACTCTTCTTGAAAAGGGTATGAAACTGGCTCTGGAAAGTAGTTTTTTGGCCCCAGGTGACGGACAGAAACTAGCTCTTATCATTTTCTTTTTTCTGGAGGAAACCAGCTTCTAACAAAGAGTGAGCACTTCCCATTATGGAGAAGCTGAAGACTGCTCCTGCAAGGTGGGTTTTTGTTTGGTTGATTGTTTTTTGTTTTGTTTTTCAAGACAGGGTTTCTTGTGTAACAGCTCTGGCTGTCCTGGAACTCACTCTGTAGACGAGGCTGGCCTCGAACGCATAGAAATCCACCTGCCTCTGCCTCCCGAGTGCTGGGATGAAAGGCGTGCGCCACCACTCCTGCAAGTTTTAACTGTTTCCTACTGTGAAAGGGAAGGGGAAATGGATGCTTCATCCCTGGTTTTCTGTGTGGTACAGAGACAGCTTGGAAGAAGTGCTGGAGAAACTCAGAACAAGGCAGAGGCACATGGAAACAGGGACACTGTACAGTTTCTCAGAATACATGCCTGGGCCTGGGTCAGACAGCACAGGAGGAAAGGGACAGTGCACACCATTAATCCCAGCACTCGGAAGGCAGAGGGAGCTGGATCTCTGAGAACATCTCAGAAGCAAGAAAAAATAGGAAAGGCATTCTTTTACAGGCTGTTGTGTTGAGGGGGCAAAAGAGGACAGTATAGGAATTCTGAGTTGAAGATTAGTATCAGGAGAAGCAAAGGGTAGTTTTGTTTTTTTAAGGTTTTTATTTTTGTGTCTTTATGTGTGGGTGCCTGACCACAGAAGCCAAGAAATGCCATACCCCCTGGAACTGGAGTTAAAGGCAGCTGTGAGTTGCCTAATGCTGGAGATCCAAACTTTAGGAGTGTGTGCTCCCCCACTGAGCCATCCCTCCAGCCATGATGAGTGTGACAAGTGGACAGATTGCACTGAGGGGGACAGAATGCACTGAGGGGCCTTTTGTACTCTTGTCCCCAACACCCCGGCCACCTGCTAGCTTATGCCCGAAATAACAACACACAAACTGTATTCATTTAAACACTGCTTGGCCCATTTCTATCTAGCCTTTTCTCAGCTAACTCTCGCACCTGGACTAGCCTATTTCTAATAATTGTAGCACCCCAAGGTGCGCTTACTGGGAAGATTCTAGCCTACGTCCATCCTGGGTCGGAGCTGCCTGGGAGAGCAGAGCCTGGCGTCTCTGCTCCAGAGAGCAGAGCTGTCGAGTCTGGAGTCTGAGCTCACTTCCTCTTCCTCCCAGCATCTTGTTCTGTTTACTCCACCCACCTATGTTCTAACCAATAAAATGGGCCAAGCCAGTTTATTAGCCAATGACCTTCCTCCATCATACTCTGGTCTTCTGAGACCACAGGACAAGAGAGCCACCCTTTGCAACAGGCTAGTGTTGATCACAAAGGGGATGTGAAACAAAAGCTAGGTAGGTAGGGTTTTTGTGTGAGAAACACTCAAGTTCTGTGTCCAAAAGGTAATGATGGTAGAATTTTATAAAAATTTGTCAATGAACAGTGAGGACTACTGAGACCTCAAGAACAATGGCAATGGGTTTTTGATCCTATTGCACGTATTGGCTTTGTGGGAGCCTAGGCAGTTTGGATGCTCACCTTACCCACAGGGCAGAGAACCCTGATTGCTCTTTGGGCTGACGAGGGAGGGGGACTTGGGTGGGAGAGGGGGAGGGAAAGGGGAGGCGGCGGTGGGGAAGAGACAGAAATCTTTAATAAATAAAAAATAAAAAAAAGAAAGCAGGCTGAATGCGAGCCCGAGGAGCAAGTCAAAAAAAAAAATTTGTCAATGAACATTTAAGATTCTTTGACCTAGGCCTCTATATATTGTCTAGTTTTTTTTTTTTTTTTTTAGGGGAAGGTTGGTTTGTTTTGAAACAGGGTCTTCTCACTCTGTAATCATAGCTGGCCTCAAACTCAGAAATCTTCCTAACTGCCTCCTGATTAAAAGCATGTGCCACTGTGCCCAGTTTTTAGAAACATTTGTTGGACTAGGGGAGTGCTCATCAGATAAAACACTGCACAAGCCTGAGGAAACATGAGTTCCAATCCTCAGAACCCACGTAAAAGACTGGTGAGCTGCATATAATTGAAGCACTTGGAAGGCAGAGAAGAACCCCAGGTCAAGCTTGCTAGTCAGACCAGAAGCGTTGCTGAACTCTGGGTTTAATTAAGAGATCCTTCCTCATTGAATAAGTGGACAGCTATAGAGGAAGACCCCAATGTCAGCCTCAATGCCTCAACATGCATGTAGACACATCCCTGTAGATACAAGTGAACACATTGTGCTGACTGGTTTTATAAAAACCTGACAAACTAATCTGAGAGAGCCTCAATTGAGAAACTTCATCCATAGTCTTGGGCTATAGGCAAGCCTATAAGACATTTTTTTAAACTAGTGATTGGTGTGGAAGGGCCCAGCCCATCCTGAGTGGGGCTGCCCCTGGGCTGTTGGTCCTAGGACCTGTAAGAGCAGGCTAAGCAAGCGAAAGCCAATAAGCAGCATTCCTCTATGGCCTCTGCATCAGTTTCGTGGAAGTTTAAGCCAAATAAACTCCAGTTGACTTTTTTTGACAATTTTACACATGTATTTAATGTATTTTGATCATTTTTCATACTCTTGCCCACAGCCCTGTCTCATCCCCCTCCCACTGAACCCTTTTTTCCAACTAGTACCATCTCGTGGAACAGATGGAATTCTCGTGGAATTTTTCAAAAAGTTTAAGGTTTTTTAAAAATTTTGTGTATGAATATAAACTTCTAAAAGATTTTAAATTTTGTTTTATTTATATGGGTGTTTTACTTGCATGTCTGTGCACTTGTGTGCCTGAAGAGGGTGTCAAATCCCTTAGAACTGTATTTACCAATAGTGAGCCACCATGTGGGTGCTGGGAATCTGTCTTCTGGAATAGCAGCCCCCACCGGTGATCATAACTACTGAACCATCTCTCCAGCCCCAAGGAACAACCTTTGTGACTGTAATTCTGATGAGGGACGCATGCACAGACTGGGGATACAACCGTGTGGTGCACTGTAAACCACCGAAACCACCCCCAATCTGGGCGTAATTGGCTGTCTGGTTCCCACTTTATTACTCTCAGCCAGTTCAGAGGTTGAGACAGAACTGCAAGTTCAAGGCCAGTCTAAGCTACACAGAAAGACCCTATCTGAAAATAAGATCATGATAAAAGTTTTATATACAAGGTATTTTCAGCCAGGCAGTGGTGATGCACAGCTAATCCTAGTATGGAAGGCACAGGCAGGTATTCTCTGAGTTTGAGGCCAGCCAAGGCTACATAATGAGAAGGCCGTGTTTCAGAACAAACCAACAACATCCCCCCCAAAAAAAAAAAAAACCTCTGGACATTATATACAAACCTAGGTCAAAGAATCTTAAATGCTCATTCATTGATTTTGTTGCTGGTGTTTGTGTCATCCAAAGGGTAACTGACTCCGAGATTCTGCTAGGTTTTCCAGATTCTGCCACCAGGTGGCACCCTCTACACGCTGTTCTTTCTGTCGCTGGAGTGTCCCCCCCCCCCATTCTGCCATAGGCTGGCACCCTCTAAATGCCAGTTTATTTGTCCATTTGTGTGTGCAAAACAAAAGCAAGAAGGTCTCCCGTCCTCTTCAGAATGGGAATTTTCCAGTCATAGTTATCCACTCCTGGAGTCTCCTCTCCAGGCCCCATGTTCTCACTAGCTCCCTCAAGGAAGATGTGGCAGGTCTTACGTGGGGTTGTCCTCTTTTCATTACCAGAGCTGCTAGCTTGGTCGTATTAATCTTTTACTTCCTCAAGTCACCTAAATTTTCTCCTAAAGTGGGTGAAATTACCTGGCGCGAGTGAGAACGAAGCACTCAACGAACCGCTTTGGAGTTTATTAGAGGAGACATGTACAGACCTGGGAAGACGGTGTGCAGAAAGAAGGCTGGAGGTGGTTTGTCCAGCTTTTGAAGGCTGCCTAGTGTATGCACATAGGGAGTTGACAAGGGCGAATGTAGCTGCGTC